ACATGCCCAAATTGGCCATGGATGACAGGGAGGAGGTGGGTGAGGAGAAGCCCCAGGGGCAGGAACAACACAAGCAAAGATAAGAAGGCCATCATTTGGCACAGCCTCTGGAGTAGTGAGCATCCAATTTGGCTGAAGCATGCTGAGTCTCTGCCAGGCCACCAAGGCCTTGAGTGCCAAGTTCTAGGGATTAAAATTCCAAGCGCATTCCAAGATTCAATTAAAGAAGCAGGTTGAAGATTTACTGTGGAAGCATCTCTGGATTCTGCCCTGTGATGGTGGCAACTTACCATCCTGCAAACACTGCACCCAATCCCAGTGCTCTCCAGGAAAACTTCACGGGTCACCACCTTCTCTGTCTGTCTCAGGGAATCCTGAATTCAAATACCTGGATTTGCTTTTCCCAAAAGGAGAGTCACACTGGTGTCCCCACGATGGTTAGAGGGCCTAGGGCTTCCAGAGTGACCAATGACTAATGAGCTGGGAGACAGACAGTCACAATTAGGACCGCATTTAAGTTCTTTACATGCTCTGACAAGTATAAGTCATTTTGAGCAACTGCTCTGTGTAAGGTACTGATCAGGATCCGAGAAGGACACAGAGAGACCTCTGAATGGGGCACCCACAAGTACATCACCCAAGGCATGGAGTACCTACTAATTTCCATTTCCCTCCCTATTACAAAACCAGCCATTAACCCCCTGCCACCAGATATCAAACACCCACCCCACCCATCCCAGTTCTGAAGCCACAAGCCAAATCACACCAACCTGTTATCCAGCCTCCCAGGCCACCTATCCGAAACTCCTCTCATGGGTCCCACTAGACTCAAATCATTGTCATTTCCCTAGCACTTGAGATGCATTTGTCCCCCAAAGCCCACAGGCAGTCATGTTATACAACCATGTCAGAAGCAAGAAAAAGCTCCTGCTAATTATAGTGCTGGGAAAACATCCTTTTACATGTTTAATAAAGAAGACCAGGATGGGACATGAATCCTAATCACCCCAAACAAACAGCACCTGAT